TTCCTTCCTTCCTTTCTGTTTTTTTCTAAAATTTTCTCGATGATAGTCATTCCAACTAGGGTAAGATGGACTCTCAATATAGATTTTTAAAATATTTTATTTGTTATTTTTATTTTATTTGTATGCATGTATTGCCTGCATGTAGGTAAGTGCACCCGTGTTGTGCAATGAATGCCCATGGAGGACAGAAGAGGCTGTTGGATCCCCTGGAACTGGAGTTACGGACATTTGTTAGCTGCCATGTGGGTGCTAGAATTCGAACCTGGGTCTTTTGCAAGAACAACCAGTGTTCTTAACCGCTGAGCCATCTCTCCAGCCTCCATAATCTCAATATAGTTTTGATTTACATTTCCCTGATGGCTAAAATGTTGAACATTGTTTTCTTTATTTTGATATTTGTACTTCTCTTGAGACATGTCTATTCAATTCATTTGCCCCTTTATTAATTGAATTAGCTGTTCTTTCAGTGTTTAAGGTTTCTTTTTTTTTTCTTTTTTTTAATTAAAACATTTTTTTTGTGACAGGGTCTCCGCATGTAGCCCTGGCTGCCTGGACCTTGCTATGTAGACCAGGCTGGCCTTGAACTTAGGAGATCTGCCTGCCCCTGCCTCCTGAGTGCTGGGAATATTTAGGTTTTTGAGCTCTCTCTATATTCTATGTCTTAACTCCTCATTAGATGAATAGCTTGCAGAGCTTTTCTCCCATTCTGCAGACTCTGATGGCTTTCTTTGCTGTGTAGCTCTTTAATTCAGTGCAATCCATTATCAATTCTTGCTAGTATTTCCTGAGCTGTTTAGAGTCATATTAAATTCATCACTCATACTTACATAGCCCCTATGTTTTTTCTCTAATAGTTTCAAAGATTTCAGGTCATACATAAAGGTATTTGATGCATTTTGAATCAATTCTTGTACAGTATGAGACCAGGATCAAGTTTCAGTCTTACACTTGTGGATACCCAGCTTTTCCCAGCAGCATTTGTTAAAAAGTCTGTCTTTTCTTCAAAGTATGTTTTTAGTACCTTTATTGAGGATCAGATGCCTGTAGCCACATGAGTTTACTTCTGGGTCCTCATTCTATTCTGTCCTGTCCTTTCCTGTCCTGTCCTGTCCATCATCTTTGTTATTGTGTCAATACCATGCAGTTTTAGTTACTATGGGTCTGTAGTAAGTTTGAAACTGGGTGTTTAAATATCTCCATCACTGTGCTTTTTGTTCAGAATTGCTTTGACAATTCCTCTTTCCCTGCACCCTTGCCAACATTTGTTGTCTTTTTTTCTTGGTGATAATCCTTCTTACTGTGGAGAGAGAATCTCCATGTACTTTTTATTTCTCTTTCTCTTCTTTTTCTTCTCTCTCCTCCCCCATCCATCTCTCCCTCTTTTATTTGTGTGTGTGTGTGTGTGTGTGTGTGTGTGTGGTGTGTATGTTTGTTTGTTCAAGTACACTTGCCCATGTTTGTACATGTGGAAGCCTGAGGTTGATATCATGTGTTCTCCTCCATCAGTCTTTAATTTTTGAGACAGAGTCTCTCACTGAGCCTGGAGATTGCCATTTTAGCTAAATTTCTTGGCCAGCAAGCCCTTGGGATCCACCCGTGTTTGCTCCCCACCCAGTGCTGGGGTACAGGCTTGCACTGCCCTACCTGGCTTTTTATGTGGGTACTGGAGATCTGAACTCAGGTCCTCATGCTTGTGCAGCAAGCACTTTACCACTGAGCCATCTCCCCAGCCTTCCTCCTTCTTTTCAAATTGAGCTTCACTCAGCAAACAGCAGCCAAATGTGTATCTTATGATGTCCTCCAGTGCCCAGTCTTTCAGAACAACAGCTAGCCATCCACGGCAGTGTTCAGGAAGTGACCATTGTCTAGAATTCCTCTCTAGCACCTTAGTCTCCAGGCTGCTGTTGACTTTTTCAACGAGGACCTCTTGATCCCTTTCCCAACCTGTACCAGCCAAACCTGGCCAGTCCTCTTCCTACTGGGCACCGAGTATGGCCAAAGTCCAGCCTGCCCTTACTGTTGACACAGATTAATGTTGCTTCCATACCCCAAGTCACTGAAGACGCCAACTGCAATGGCCCCACTCACCAGCTTCTTAGCCTCCACCTCCTCTTCCTCCTCTTCCCCCTCCTCCTCTTTCTCCTTCTCTTCTTTTTTAGTCTTTAATTTTCTTAAGTTCTTTAAAGCTCCTCAGTATTATTCCTCTATCAGATGTAGAGTTGCCAGCAGTCTGCTCCCATCGTGCAGGCTGCCTCTGCCTTTGCTGTCAGTTCTTGGAATTCTTATCTGAGTTGTTGGCATCCTTTTCAGAATGTCATTGCCTATATTTTAAATTGTTTCCCCTATGTTTTCCTTTACATTTTCAGAGATTCAGGTCTTACAGTAAAGTCTGTAATCCATTTTCAATAGATTTTTATGCAGAAGTACAAATCAGTTTTCAATATTCTACATATGGCCATCCAATTTTCCCAACATCCATTTGTCAAAGATATGTTATTTTTCTAGTGTATATTTTTGACATCTTTGTCAAAAACAAGGTGACCAACCTTGAATGACTTTATTTCTGGGCCCTGTATTCTGTTTCAAGGGTTTATTTGCCTCTTTTTGTGTTGGTGCCATGCTGTGTTTGTCACTACAGCTCTGTAACGTAATTTGAGATCAAGTATTGTGATACCTCCAGCGTTGGTCTCTACACAGGATTGTTTTGACTATTCAAGGTCTTTTGTGCTTCCATATGAATTTTTAGGATTGTCTAGTGGCATCATGTTTATAGCTTGAAATTTGTGGGGATAAGGAGGATTTAAGATCTGCACCACACAGTTCCAGTAAATGGTACAAATCAGGGCTTTCTTTATGCTTCACTTAAAGAATCTGCTTTAAACATTAGGGTTTCATCTTTGGTATCTTCACCATGGACATAGTATGTTCTTAGTGAATATTTCTTGAGTAAATTAATGAATGAAAAGCAAAATACCCTATCATAACTGGCAATCTAAGCTTTTCCTCTGAGATATTCTCATTATTTGAGTCTAAACAAATCTCCTCCCCGGCCCCAGCTCCCCCAGCATATCTGTGTCCCATAGCCCCTCATGCTTGGCACAGGTCTATCTCATTCTCTGACTTGGTCTTCCTTTGGTCTCAATGCTGTGTGACCACCACTGAAGAGGTGCCTTCACTGCTACCTTCAAGCTACTCCTGTGTTCATGTGACATGACTGTGCTCAAAGTTTCCTAATTTGCTCCTCAGAGCAGCCCTGTGGCAGGCATAGGGCAGGAGTAGAAGACATAGGGCAGAGCAGCTGACTGCTTTGATGACAGTGTGTGAGGCCCAGAATCTGAGTAAGAATGCAAACATCAGAGTCTTAGGCAGGTTGATTCTCAATTTCTAGCCTGCAATGAACAGTCTTCAAGACCTTGGTTATTCCTTCCTTGTCCCTTGCTCATGTCTGGTCAGGAGTTGAGGGATGCTTCTCCCAACACCTCTCCTCCTCCTCAGGTCTGAAAGTTATTGTGGGGGCCTTGCTGCGCTCTGTGAAGAAGCTAGTGGATGTGATGGTCCTTACCCTCTTTTGCCTCAGCATTTTTGCCCTGGTAGGTCAGCAGCTCTTCATGGGAACCCTGAACCAGAAATGTGTCAAGAAAAATTGTGGTCCTAACCCTTTATCTAACGGTAAGTTCCCCACCTTTTACTCTTTGTCTTGTGCATGATTCGCTTTTATTTATCCCCCACTCACATCACTGTTATCACTTGCTCTTAGGATCAAGACTATACTGTCCAACCTGAGACTTTATGCAAACATATATTTTGTAGAGAATCACTCCATTCTTGGGGTTTCTCTGGAGAAGGAAACACCCAAAGCCATGTCCACAAAATCAGTATCTGGTCCCATCTCTGCCATTTGCCATGCTTTGCAGAATGTGTTCCGAATGCCTAGATTTGGCCAAAGGCAACCAGAAACTGCCAAGATTTCTACCCTCTAAAGTATTTTCTGCAATACCAACACTTCTTTTTGGACCTATGTTCCCTGTGCTAAGGTCAACCCTAGTCCCTTTCACATGTCCTGAACCCCATGTAGTTACATTCTCTCCGTGCATGTCATGGCTGAGTCCAGTTCAATTTCTCCCTGGGCCTGGTTTCTGGTCTACTCAGTGTTTCCTGTATTACATGCTGATCCACGAAGGGGTTTTGGGAGATGCCATTGCTCCTGCCTCCCATTTCTTCTTTCTTCTCTCTCTTGCTTCTTCCTGAGAACTCAGGACTCTGTTCCCCTCTGGCTGACCACATTGATCATTTTAGGGGATTAAAAGCTACCTGCTTTCAAATGTAGTCTAACCTGTTTGCTATTATTTTTTACTACAGTGTTAATATTTTAAATCTGAATTTATGACTTTTTCTTCTCTCAGAGTATTGCTTTGAAAGGGAAAACAATTCCAAAGAGTTCATAATGTGTGGCAACTGGTTTGGCAGCAGGTAAGAGGTTTATGCAGTCTATTTTTCTCCCAAGCCAAGTACCTCTAGACCTTTTAGAATAATTGGCGAACAGTCTTCATGTAATAACTAGTGGAGGCGTGATGGGCGTTCTCAGTAATGACAGTTCCCTGTGTCTAAGCAGGTTTATTTACTTACTTTAAAAAATACTTTTTTAAAATTTAAAAATTTTTATATGTATGAGTGTTTTGCTTGGATACATGTTAGTGTACTTATACCTGGCTCCCGTGGAAGCCAGAAGAAGGCATCAGATATCCTGGAACTAGAGTTATGAGGAAGGTAAATAGCTGCCATGTGCGTGCTGGGAGCTGAACCTGGGTCTTCTGCAAGAGCAACCACTGCTCTTAACTGCTAAGTCATCTCTCCAGACTCTTACTTTTATTTTTAAAGACAAGGCCTTATTCCATATCCCTCAAACTCATCTTCCTCCTGCTTTAGCCTCTGAAGTAGGTGGGACTTATTGATATGCTACTATGCCTGACTTATGCAAGCTTAGACTTGCATTATTCAATTAAATATTGTTTCCAAGTGGTTATAGCAGGATTTCCCTCCAGGTATGTTGAATTGGTAGCTCCTAAGAAATGTATTGCTAATTCAGTAATAGTTCAACTCTATGGAATGGAACTTCAAGACTTTTCAAGGTGGTAAAGGATGTTATGACCAAGAGCCCCACACAGATATTTGTTCTGTTCCATGCATCCCCTAGCTGCAAGACTGACAGAGAAGCATCTCTTTGCTGACACGTTAGCCACCACAGCTTCTAACTGTAAATATGGTTCTGTGTGTGGATTCCTAGAGAGAGTAGAGAGCAGAAGAATAGCCTAACCTTTTCCCCTTAAGACACCAGTGCTCTCTGTGGTGAGAATGAGAATTTACTGAGCATATTCTAAACCAAGATGATGCGTAGTGCACTCTGATGAAATAGACATTACTTATTCCCTATAATAAGTAGAATTTTAATATTGTGCCTGGCTTTAGGTTAGGACTCAAAGAGTGCAATTAAGAAGAAAGTCTCTCTGCCTTCTTGAAGGGAAGATAAACAAATGGGTATTTAAAGAATATTTTATTTATTTTTATTTTATGTGTATTAGTGTATTGCCTGCATGTATGTAAGTTCACCTGTGTCGTGCAATGCCCTTGGGGTTCAGGAGAGAGTGTTGGATTCCCCTGGAACTGGAGTTATGGATGGTTGTTAGCTGCCATGTGGGTGCTGGGAATTGAACCCGGGTCCTCTGCAAGAGCAGTCAGGGCTGTTAACCACTGTGCCATCTCTCCAGCCCCAGATGATGGATATTTTTAAGGGTGACTTGCAAATGCTGAGAGATGTGATGGAGATGTGGTCTTCTCTGGAGAATGAGGGAAGGAATTCCTTCCATGGAAGACAGTAAATACTGCAAGTGTGGTGGGCGTTCTAAGGGGTGTTGCAAATGTTGAGAGATGGGATGGAGACAGAGCCCTGTCTTGAGAATTAGGAAGGCTTCTCTCACATAACTTGCAAGATGTATTAGACTGCAATCTAATCAGAATGAGGTTTACCAAGCTCTTTAGAATGATCTTTGACGAACCACACTGAACCCACAGTGCATTTATCTTAACACAAACCCCAGGACTGTCACTCACCATGATCTCTTATTGCACAGGACATGTGACCGGGTGGGCTATGTCACATAGGCATGCAGCCCCATCATCATGGTGCTCCAGCCTTGGTTTGCAGCTGGTCTTTACAGTGTTCTTGTCTCTCTAGGATGAGCCATACAGTGTGAAAGCTCCGGGATTTTTGTAGTAACCATCTCCTGAGACATGAACTTCCATGCCATCCTAACTTGACTTTAGAACATGGTTCTCTGAGATGGCAGGTGAAGGATATTTTTCCAGGCAGCCTCAACTCCTCAGGGCCCCAATCCAGTTTCCACCTTTGCTCTCTGCTTCCTTTCAGAGGATGAACTGACTGATGGCTATTACTCAAATGCAAAGTATAGGCGAGGAAGTAGAACACACAGCTCTAGATGGTAGGAAAGTAAGGTAGAGGGGCATCAGAGCACAAAACATGTGTGGATGGCCAGAAGCCCATGGCTCCCTGGACAGAGGAGCAGGAGAGGAGCCAGGAAGGGAAGCAAGCTAGTCATGTTGTGTTTGGGTCTTGGTCATAAAGGAAATAGGACACGAAAGGTTTTGATACAGGGAAGTGCTAGGTGTTGTAGCTCATGCCTGTAATCCCAGAATTTGGGAGACAGAACCAGGAGGATCACTGCATGTTTAAGGTCAGCCTGGGCTACATAGTAAGTTCCAGACTAGTCTGGGCTAGAGTCTACAAAGCAAAGCCTTACACATGTTAGCCAAGCACTCTTCCATGGAGTTATATTCTCAGTTTTTTTTAATCTTTAAAATTTGAAACAGGGGTCTCACTAAATTACTCAAGCTGGCCTTGAACTAACTCAGTATCCCAGCCAGGCCTTGAATTTATAGTCCTCCAGTCTCAGCCTCCCAAGTAGCTTAGATGATAGATCTGTACCACCAGGCCTGGACAGATCAGCTTTTTATTTTTTTTTTAAATTAAATTACATTTTAATTAATTAATTATGTGTGGGAAGAGGGTACACAGGTAGAGATCAGAGGACCAATTGCCAGAGTCAGTTCTCTCCTTCCTCCATGTGGGTTCCAGGGATCGAACTTAGGTCATTAGGCTTGGCAGTGTCTTTACCTGCTGAGTCATCTCACAGGCCGAGGCTCAGATTTTTAAAACACAGCTCTAGTTTCTGTGAAGGGAATGGATATCTAGAGTAGACAGAGAAGTCACTTGTGTTAGTAAAGGTGGGTCATGGAGCAGCATGGTTGAAATGGAGAGACAGGATGGAAGCAGGTTGGGGTATGGCTTAATGGTAGAGCGCCGGCATGGCATGTGTGAGTCCCCAGTTCCATTCACAGCACTACAAAAAAACCAGACAAAGAGCACTAATAGCAAACATTTTAAAAAGAGAAACTGCCAGGCACGATGGCATGCACCTTTAGTCCAAGCACTAGGGAGGCAGAGGCAGAGGCAGGGGCAGGGGCAGGGGCAGGGGCAGGGGCAGAGGCAGAGGCAGAGGCAGAGGCAATCTCTGTAAGATCGAGGCCAGCCTGGTCTTTGTAGCAAGTTCCAGGTCGGCTGGGACTACAGACAGACCCTGTCTCAAGCCCCCCGCCCCCAAAAAAAAGAGAGAGAGAGGAAAAAACAGCTTAGTTTGAAAGACATTTGAAACACAGGAAGGACGGGTCTTACAGTTGAAGAGGGGTAGTGGTGTGGACACATGTGTCCTAATGCATATGTATATGTGCGTGAGGGTAAGGGAAAGTGCAAATGAAAGAAGACTCTAGATGGCTCTCGTTTCTGGATCCAGGGAGGCTCAATGCCATTTGCGGACATGGAGAGGTGGGGAGAGGCTTCATCACCTGTAGAAGCCAGTGGCTGGAGGAGACTGCACAAAGTGGGCTCTTGTGTTTTTTTTGTTTTGCTTTGTTTTGCTTTTGTTTTTTGTTTTTTTTTTTTTAATCAATGTGTATGTGTGTTTTTCCTGCATATGTATGATATTGCACTAATGTCCTGCAATGCCTGCAGAGGCTACAGGAGGGTATTGGATCCCCTGAAACTGGAGTTACAGACTCTATGAGCTGCCACATGGGTGCTGGGAACTGAACCCAGATTCTCTGCAAGAGCAGTCAGTGCTCTAACTGTTGAACTGTCTCTCTAGCCCCCATAGTGGACTCTTGACAAACGTCGGTAAGCAATATACTTAGAGACAGAACATAAAAGTTACCAATTGTGCCAGGTGTGGTGGCACACACCTTTGATCCCAGCATTCTGGAGGCCAAGGCAGGTAAAGAATGTGAGTTCGAGTCCAACCTGTCTGAAAAAGACACACACAAAAAAAGTTACCAGTTCTCCAGTTGAGGGTATGTAAATAAAAAAAAGGTGCAAATGATTTCATTACAAGGTTTTTGGTACATGTAGTTTTAAAAAACATATGATAAGGGGCTGGAAAGATGACTCAGTGGTTAAGACCATGGACTGCTCTTATAGAAGACCTAAGATTGGTTCCTAGCACCCACATCAAGTGGCTCACTACTACTTATAACTCTAGTTCCAGGGACTCTGACACCCATTTCTCGTCTCTGTGGGCACTGCACAAATGTATACAACATATACATAAAATAAAAATATTTTTCAAAATACTAAAAATTCTACTGCTTACTGAAAATCAAGAAAGTAGTATATTTTGTTGATATACTCAGTGATGTAGGTTTTGGCATTGTGGGCAAAGACTCAAGTTCAAGATATCCCTTGCCCAAATGTTTGTTAAGGACAAATATTACTAATTCTTCTTTTGAGATAGGTAAAACTTAAAAAAAAGTTTTTTATTTATTCATGTTATGTGTTTGTATATGTGTTTTTCCTGCATATATGTAAGTGCACCATGTGTGTGCAATGCCTGGAAGCCAGAAGAGGGCATCAGATCCTCTGGAACTGGAGTTATGGACAATTGATGGTCCCCAGTGTAGGTGCTGGGAACTAAATCTGGGTCCTCTGCAAGAATACCCAGTACTCTTAACCTTTGAGCCATGTCTCCAGCCCCTTGAGACAGGGTTTCATGTTGCCCAGGCCAGCCCCAAATTCACTATGTAGTGGCCTAGGATGACCTTGAACTTGTGATCCTCCTGCCTCTATTCAAGTGCTGGGATTACAGGGGTGTGCCACCACACCTGACATATTTGGTGTTGGGTATCAAACCCAGGACTTCCTGTATGCTAGGCAAGCACTCCATCAACAGAGCTACATCCCCAGACAAGACTGTTCATCTTTGAAACCTATGTATTTATCAGTAAGTGAGCAGCTAAAGAAATAATAGGACTGTAAGAATGGAAAGTCTGCCTGTTTGCTGATAGGATATGCTATATTTATTCATAAGAAAATAAGCTATATTATTCTACGAAAAGTTAAATGAGAGTGTTTAAAGCATGTTTACTTTGTTATATTATAAAAGATATGCATAAATAAATATACACACTTCTGTATAGAAAACTGGAACCTAACAAAGGTAATGTCTAACTGGCTCCTGTTGGAAGTAGGACTGAGGGACAGGGGTGGGAAGGAGAGACTTAATATCCATTATGTGTGCTTTTTTGTATAAGCTACAAAATATTTTATTTTTTAATTATGCAAATCACTATTGTAGCTCAATCTTTTGTGCTCTTCTCTCTAATTTTATTTTACTTTTGTTTTTCAATTTATTGTTTATTCCTTGACAGTTTTACGCATATATATAAAGAATTTTCGTTTCCCACACATTGCCCTCCTCATCGCCACTCCTTTACTTGATGAAACTTTTCTTCTTCCTGACAAGCCCCCCTCCTATTTCTCTCCCACCCCCAGTGTGTGTGTGTGTGTGTGTGTGTGTGTGTGTGCGTGCGTGTGTGTGTGTGTCCCTGGGTTTAATTGGGATTGTTTGCATGAGCATGGATGGGAGGTTACTGTGACAAGGGAAACTTATCTGTGGCTATACCACAGAAGAAAATGACAAGTGACACCCCTTCCCCCAGTCACCATTAACTGTCAGTCCCTCAGGAATGGGTACAGCCTCTTGAGCTCTTTCCCCTTCCGTGATGGAATGTTGAAGGGCACCATCCTGTGCAGTCTTGTGTGGTACCCACAGCTGCAAAGACATGCACTTTTTTTTTGCTACTGTTTATTGTGTCATTGCACTTAATTCTTCAATGAAAACCTTGCTAATGGGGCTGGAGAGATGGCTCAGCAGTTAAGAGCACTGGCTGCTCTTGCAGAGGACCCAAGTTTAGTTCCTAGTGCCCACATGAAGGTTCACAAGTGGATATAACTCCAGTTCCAGGGCATCTGACGCCCTCTTCTGGCCTCTGTGGGCATTGTACACACATAGTGCACTTATATACATTCAGAGAAAACACTTATAAACATAAAAAAGGAAAACCTTACTAATATGAATTTCTTCATCAGATAGTCAAAATAGGCCATATTTAGTGGCTAAGCAGGCCGAGGGAAGGAGGAGGTAGCTACTTTTCCTTCAGAGCTTTCTTTGCAGAGTCCAAGACCCTCTGCAGCACAGTATCATGGCAGGAGAATTGGACTGGGGGAAAATATAACTGTTTGTCTATCCTTTGTTTCCAACATCTAGACCCTGTCCTTATAATTCTGAGTGCAGGAACACCAGTTTTAATCCAGACTATAATTACACAAGTTTTGACAACTTTGGCTGGTCTTTTCTTGCCATGTTCCGGCTTATGACTCAAGATTCCTGGGAGAAACTGTACCAACAGGTATCTATTGATATGTTCCTTTCCTCCCACCCTCCGTTCTGATCTTCCCCTCTATTGTTAACCTATTTATCATTCATTTAAAACCTACCCTCCAGCTCCTACTTGGTCATCTTTTCCTTATCTATAATGGCTGTACAATTGAATTCTGTTTCAGAAACTGTGTTAAAAACTCCAAGAAAATTAAATGTGGTGTTTGAAAGAGTGTAAACCCCTTCTCTTTCTACACGTATCACACTACCCTCTGCCTATAGTTTCACCTCTTACTCTTTTCTATTAAAAATGCAAATATCATTGAGAACATCATCGATGTAAAGTCAGGGAGCTTGCCCTCCCATGAGTGTATGGCAGTCTTACTACAAGGGAGAAAATTAGGAATCCTTGGGTGATTGAGGAGTTTGGAAGAGGTGTCTAATCTTTTTGGCTTCTCTGACCCACATGGACCAAGAAGTATTGTCTTGGGCCACATGAGGTTGTACAACCCATGCTTATAGGTTGTGAGAGCATACATTTGTCTTTTGCATGGTATTGCAACATGATGTGGTTAACCTACAAAGCTTCTCTTAAGAGCCATGCAATTGGTGCTGGAGAAAGAGTTCAGTGGTTAGGAGTATATCTTGCTTTTCCAAAAGACCCAAATTTAGTTCCCAGCACCCAAGTCAGGAAGTTCACAACCACCTGTAACTCTAGCTCTAGGGGATCTGAGGCCCTCTTCTGGCCTCCAAGGGCACCCCTCCCCCATTCATATAACTAAAAACAAATCTTAAAAAAAAACCACCAAAAACCATGCAGCTGGGCATGGTGGCCAGGGTGCCATTAATTCTAGCATTCTGGAGGCAGAGGTAGGTGGAGCTCTGTGAGACTGAGGTCAGCCTTGTCTATATAGTGAGATCTAGGTCACTGGGTGACAGGGAGACCCTGTCCAAAAGAAAAAAAAAATCCATGCAATTGAGTTACCAAAAAAATTGCAAAACTATCGCACCATATTTTAAGTGATTTTACGATCTCATGTTGGTCCACACTTAAAGCTATCCTGGGCCACATGCAGCTCATGGCCACAGATTGAACATATTTACTAGAGGATGCTATAGGAAGCTGAGCCAGCTGGCTCCAGGAAAACCTCACTGGAGGTTACAGTCATGACTGTGGAAGATGCATCAGATGCAAGTGTGTGCTCTGTCCCTCACAGACTCTGCGGACATCTGGGCCCTACTCAGTCTTCTTTTTTGTGATAGTCATCTTCCTGGGCTCTTTCTACTTGATTAACTTAACTCTGGCTGTCGTCACCATGGCCTATGAAGAGCAAAACAGGAATGTAGCTGCGGAGACAGAGGCCAAGGAGAGGATGTTTCAGGAAGCCCAACAGCTATTAAAGGAGGAGAAAGAGGTAGGGACACATGGAGTTAGACAATGGGGTTTGCTTCAAGGGGGTCAGAGGAATCCTAGAGATAGCGTGACCTGAGGCTGAAGGCCACCTTGGGGTCTAGCCTCAGCCCTTTCGCTCCTTGTGTTTTACTGAGAATCTGAGCCCCTTGCAATCTGGCTGTGCTGCTGTTCCTCTCAAAGTGGTCTGGACACAAGATTCTTGAGACGGGGAAGGGCGTGGTTTGGATACCTTTTAGATTTTGGAAGCCTGTGTTTTCTGGAACAGGCACCAAACTACTGGCTACAGAATATAACATATGAATGTGCAAATCCAGGCTCTGCTGCAGGCTTACTTCTGGAAATTCAAAGAGCTTTTCTTGGTACATTTGCTGGTAGGAGAGCTGGGGCTCCTGAACAATAGGAAAACTTATGGCTCCCTTCCTGGCATCCCTGGCATCCTTACAGGCTTTCTCTTTGATTCAGATGGTATCTTCACATTCTCTGGTTCAATTTTAAGATTTTTAGGGTAGGGATTGTATATCATACAATGTGTTGTCCACTACAGAGATTTTTCAGATGGAAGCCCATTACCAGGTATAAGCATTTATTGAGTTCCTGGCACATACTAGGCACTGTGCTAAGGGTTAGTAATACAGACAGGTGTAACAGTCAACTCTGCATTGACAACTGCTGTGTCTGTGCAAAAATAGGACATTCTCTAGATAAATGATGGCAGAGCTAAAATATTTAAACGACGTGAAGAGCGGTCTAAGTGGCTCAGCATCACCAAGAGAGAGGAGAGTGTCTCATTAAGGTTGAGGTCATCTGCAGTGTTCATGGGGAGGTATAATCTGTTCATTGATTGCTTTTGTTCACTTTCAAAGGCTCTGGTTGCCATGGGAATTGACAGAAGTTCACTTAATTCCCTTCAAGCATCATCCTTTTCCCCAAAGAAAAGAAAGTTTTTTGGTAATAAGACAAGAAAGTCCTTCTTTATGAGAGGATCTAAGAAAGACCAAACTTCAGGATCCGATACAGATGAAGAGTCCTCTAAAAATGTAAGTCTTGTCCCCAGGATTAATGGTGCCATTATGCTATCGAAGGTCGGGGTGGATCCACTGACAATCCAATCAAAAGGGTTCCTTCCTTCATCTGTCACTTATCTCCTCATGTATTTGCAAACAAACTCATACATTCATGTAGTCATTCAACTTCTTTTTTTTTGTCTTTTTGACACAGGGTCTCCCTGTAGCCCCAGCTATCCTGGAACTCCGGGAACTCACTGTGTAGACCAGGCTGGCCTTGAACTCACAGAGATCCACCTGCCTCTGCCTCCCAAGTGCTGGGATTAAAGGCGTGTGCCACCACGCCCAGCAAGAAATGCCTATGTGAACAGTTACAGGTGTATTAGTTATGGTTTTTGTCATTGACAACATTCCTGACAGTGTAACTTAGGGAAGGAAGGATTTCAGCTCACAGTTTCATGAGATTTCGGTCTATCATAACAGGGAAGATATGACATCAAGAGCAGCTTGGTAGATGTGTGAGGTGGCATGGTGGCTGGTCATGTCATGGCAGCCTACTAGGTAGTAGAGAGCCAGACTGAAATCAAAGCCCTGCCCATAATGGCCTATGTCAGCCAATGAGACACCATATTCCAAAGTGTTCATAACCTTCTAAAAGAGTGGCAACTGTCGTCAGTCAACAGAAAGGGCCCAGTTCTTCTCCACAACCGTAATCAACCAACACTTCAAAATGTGAATAAATTAGGTTACAAAGTTTTGCCACATCTACCACATTCACCTGACCTTGCACCAGCTGATCATCACTTCTTCAAGCACCGCAACAACTTTTTATGGAGAAATACTTCTACAACCATCAGGGTGAAGAAAATATAAGAATTTGTCAAACCCTGAAGCATGGGTTTTATATTATTTTTATGTGTATGAGCATGTCTGTATGTGCACCATATGTGTGCAGCAATTGTGGAGGCCAGAAGAAGGCACTGGATATCCTGGAGCTAGCATTACAGATGGTTGTGATCTGCCAAGTGGGTGTTGGGAACTGAACCCAGGTCCTCTGCAAGAGCAGTAAACACTCTTAACTGCTGAGCCATCCCTCCAGCCCTAAACAAACATTTCTTGTTAGCAAAAATGTATTGAATGTGATGGTTCCTATTTTGATTAATAAAGATATGCTTGAGCCTAGTTATAATGAATTAAAATGCACTGTCTGAAACAGCAATTTCTTTTGCATCAGCCTAAATACATTGAAGAGAGGAGACTGAGGATACTAGAGGAGACCAATTAAGACGTTGCCACAGTAACCCATGTAAGAGGCAGCAGTGGCTTACAGGATGGCTAAGACAATGTGTAACCTTTTCTGGGGAGATATGAAATGTCTGTTTGCCCAGACAGAGCACCAACGACAGACCAAAGAAACAACTCCACCCAAGTCCAGCTTGGTGAACCAAAGAATTTGTTGGGGTTTCTAGGAACATGGGTGAGGGGTTAATTATAGAAAGATGAGTCGCTCAAAGGTAGCTGCATCACCAAAAATCCCACCCTAGCCTGAGTGACACTCACAAAAGTGTACATCTGGAGGCCCCACGCATACCTTTTCAGCTCAACCAAAGAGTCTTCTTTCTCTAGAAATTGTTTACTCCTTTTATAACTTTGATGTCCAAATTCACTTCTCTGTTGCTGTAATAAAATGCTGACCAAAACCAACCTGGGGGAGGAAAAGATTTATTTCCTTTTACAGGTTATAGCCTGTCATTGAGGGACACCAGGGCAGGAGCTCAAGGCAGGAATCTGGAGGTAGAGATGATAGAGGAGTGCTGTTTACTGACTTGCTCCTCAAGGCTTGCTCATGTATCTTTTTTATGCAGTCCAGGCCCACCTGCCCAGGGATGACATTGCTCACGGTGGACTGGGTCCTTTTACATTAATCAGTAATCAAGAAAATGCCCCACAGACAAGGCCACAGACCAATCAGATGGAGGAAATGCCTCAGTTGAGATTCCCTCTTCTCAGGTGACTAGTTTGTATCAAGTCAACAAAGACTAACCAGCACACTTATGGAGGGGAGTTGGTGAGATGGCTCAGCAGTTGAGGACACCTGTTGCCAAGCTGCTTTCTGACCCTCATTCTTGTTTCACATTCTTGTGTGCCTGTGCACATATACAGAAAAGATAAATAAATAAATAAATAAAATGTTTTTAAAAACTTTGTGTCAGAGCACATCAGGGAGTCAAAGGAATCTGTTACCCCTCCCATCCAATTAGTCAACCTTAGCTGCATGTAGGGGTGGGGCAAAGGATATATATATATATATATATATAGGGCTGTCGCGAGGTCACAGGCTCTGTATTTGAGTGTGGACTTTTATGGCACAGCTATAAATGTGGGGCACCCACTCTTCTGTAAATAAACCCCTACCCTATGCTCTGTTAAAAAATAATAATAAATAAAATATTTTTTAAGAACTTTGTGTCGGGACCTTCTGAGTTTTATTTTCCGAGCTTCCTAAGCCTTGAATGTTTCCTTAATGTCCCGATTCTTAGGAGCATCCCTCCTCCTTCCAGGAGGGAGTGCTTGCATTCATAGAAAATAGCTGCAGACCAGGAACGAAGATGAAGAGAGATGAACAGATTCCATGATCTACAGAAGATAGCATTTGACAGCTGAGCTGAATGAGGATGAATGTGATCCCTGACTTGTGACTTGAGTAGAAGACTGGTTAGAGGGTGATTTACTGAGATAAGAAAGGGGCGTGTTTCAGGGGTAGAAAAGATGGTCAGTTCAGTTTGAATGTATCAATATTGAGGTGCCTGTGGGACATTCTAGCAGAGATATTGAGTGGAGTGTGGGGACACAAAAATGAGGTGTGGATGATATTCAGTCGTAAAGGTTATTATCATTAAGGTGAAGGAAGTTTTGTTTGCCCTTTGTTGAAAAGCAAGGAAATATAAAAGTAAAGTAAAATTTCGGTTGTTCAGACTCCAAAAATGTGTATGTGTAAGGACTCTGAATTGTCAAGTCCTATGTCTCTCGTTTATTAAAGATGGGGTAGGAAAACTGAGCATTTAGCATGCTGTGAAGATAAGGTGAATGGATCTGTATAAAATGTTCAGCATCCTTATATAGCATCTTGGTGAAATTTCTGAGCGGCAACTTGCCTTTAAAAAAGTTCACCATGCCTTTTCTCTTACAGCCACAACTCCTCGAACAAACCAAAAGATTGTCCCAGAACCTTCCAGTGGACCTCTTTGATGATCACGTAGACTCTTTCCACAGGCAGAGGGCACTGAGTGCTGTCAGCATCCTGACCATCACCATGCAGGGTAAGTTTCTGCCCCATCCGAGGGAAAGCCTGGCTTCACCGATGTCCTTCTACTTCCTGCTTCCCAGTCCTCCAGAAGCCCTCCGTGAAGCCTTCTTGGGAACCAACCCACTATAGCACCCTGCAAAGAGAGACTTCTGTGTCTCTGGAACATGTGAGCAGAGTAGCTTTTCAGAAGTGGGCCTTGTGTAAGTCCAAGCCAGACAAAAACCTAGCATGGAGGTGGTGGGCAAGAAGCCCCAACATTAGCTGAGGCTCTGTTGGAATATAATAGCTACTAGGAGAGGGAGAGTCAGTTTTCTTTAAGGGTGTGATGCCTGGTAGGTTGACCCGACTTCAAGGTATGGAACCACACCCAAGAGCATTTGGGGAACACAAATTAAATTCGACAGGCATTAAAAAAAGAGAAAAGCTAAAGGATGAGAAGTGGGGCAGGGAGTAAAGTGGGAGTAGAGATGGGGAAGGGGGTCTGAATATGATCAAAATACATGATCTGAAATTCTCAAAGAATCAATAAAAATGTTTTTAAAAAGAAGTGGGCTTTCCTGAGCTGAATGGCACTTTGAGTGGTGCCCTGGGTTGGGGAACTGACTAGGTATAAAATGAGAGTTCAGACCCAGAATATAGATAGGGCCTTGCAAGCAGGAAGCTTGAGCATAATAGCCAAAAAGAGAACACTTTAGGCTTTCCACAGGAAGTGGCAGTTGTTCTCAAAGTTAGAGTCAACAATATGACGTGGACAAAAGTTGTCCCCGATTAACAGCAGTAATGGTGCCCCAATTAAGGGTTTGGTGCTCAAGTCCCTGCAGAGCTGGGGCCAAATAGATCCCTTAGCACTTTTGACTTGGCTTGTATGAGTCTCAAAAATGTTACCCAGCAAATCAGGGTACATCAGCTAAGGGCCTGAAGTTAAGCAGATGACAGAATACTTGTATTAATTACCTGCTGCTATGACAAAATACATGACAAAAGAAACATAAGGAAGGAAGCATTTCTTTTGGCTCATGGTTTAGGGCATAGTCCATCATGATGGGAAAGGCATGGTGGCAGGAGTGTGAGGCAGCTGGTCACAGTGTGTCTGCAGTCAGGAAGAAGAGAGATGGATGCTGATGCTGGTGCTCAGCTGGTTTTCTTTTTATTCATTCCTAAGAATCCATGGAATAGTGCCTCTTACATTTAAGGTGGGTCTCTCACCTCAATTAATGTAATCTAGAAACTCCCTCACAGACATGCCTAGAGGCTTATCACCTTGGTAGTTCTAGATCCTGTCAAGTTGACAAACCATTAACCTTCCCAGTACCACTGATTGTTTATATACCTACAGGCACTCTTACTTGACTTTCTTCTCTTCCTCTAGGCCCTGGTAGTCCCCAGCACAGTTAGAGCCATCACCATGGACTCTCTTAAGAGAGCAGAGCCTGTGTCTATCTCTGTATTTCCTGTGGGTTCATAGCCAGTCAAAGTTGACCTTTTTATCTTTAACAGTGCAGTCTACTTCCTAGAGGCTCAAGAAAAGTACAAAGAACTTGATGTACTACATGCGCTACATGCTAGTTGTAGAAATGGTTTCTTCTGCACCAGACTTGGCAGGAAAACCTCTCTGGCTACACAGTCAGTGCCCTGTTTGACTGTCTGCTTATAACAAATGACCCTGGGGAGGAAGGAAGAGGGATGAGGGAGAAGGGGACACACACAGGCAAAGAACAGCCAGGCTGTTTCCAAGTCAACACCTCAACCACTTTTCCATTTTCTTCCAGAACAAGAAAAATCTCAGGAGCCTTGTCTCCCATGTGGGGAAAACCTAGCATCCAAGTATCTGGTGTGGGACTGTAGCCCCCAGTGGCTGTGCATAAAGAAGGTTCTGAGGATTATAATGACTGACCCTTTTACTGAACTGGCCATCACCATCTGCATCATAATCAACACTGTCTTCCTAGCCATGGAACACTACAATATGGATAAAAATTTTAGTTCCGTACTGAGAACAGGAAATTGGGTAAACTCAGGCTCTTGTAAAGTATAAAGCATATTTCAAACTTTGAATTATAACTCTCAAAGTGCAAGCCTTTTGAGTGACATAACCTAAACTGTATCTTTGTATCCTGTTAGTGGAGTAGAGGCAGAGGATGATTTTATTTTTGCCCAGTTCATCTCTGTAGCTTTTCTATGGGCCTTGGGTTAGCCCTCTAGCATGTTAAGGTTTCTGTAGTCATTCAGAAGTAAGTCACTGGCAAACAGACAATCTTTTTTCTCAAGATTTATAGTTTTATTTTATGTGTATGGTTGACTTCCCACATGTATGTCCGTGCCTGCCTGGTGCCCAAGGAGGCCAGAAGAGAGTATCAGAATCCTTGGTTGTAGGTGATTTTGGGATGCCATGTGCATGCTGGGAACTGAACTTAGGTCCTCTGCTAGAGTGGCAAGTGCTCTTAACCACTGAGCCATCTCTCCAGCTCCAATAAGTAGACAGTCATAAAGTAGCATTTTGAGTGTTTGTGAAAATTAAGAAAATGCTAACCAAGGCTGGAGATGTAGCTTAGGTGGTAGAGTGCTTGCCTAGCATGTAAAAAGCCCTGGATTTGATTCTGAACACCACATAAATCAGGTGTGGTGATGCACACCTATAATCCCAGTAATCAGAAGGTAAAGATAGGAGGATCAGATGTTCAAGGTTATCTTCAGTTACATAGGCCAGCCTGGGCTACATGAGATCCTGTCTCAAAACATGAGCCCCCCTCCCCAAAAAAGAGAAAATATGAAGCATATCTAGAGGCCTGTGGTAATGACCACCAAGGTCTCCCTGTTACTGATGACACCATGATCATAAAATAATATGTCTGTGATCTGTAGGTATCTGCTAGGGAGGGTAAGCCAGGGCTTGGCAGCTGAGGATGAGTTCTGTTCTGAGATGGGGTGTATGAATTGTCCAGGGTAGGGATGGAGTGGACTTCCTGAGCTATTTCAGTGGATCTCAGGAATGGATCGAGCCTCAGTAAGAGTGGAAAAACCAAGATAGGAAGGAAGCAGACCTTTCCAGGCCTGCTCACTTTGATTCATAGTTCCCATGGAGGCATTTCTCTCAAGGGAAAATTAGTCTCTTATATATCAGAAACTACAAATGATTAGTCAGTGCATGTTTTACACTAATTAGCTCATTGGGCTAAAAATCTTACCAGAATGCCTAGCCTTTTCCTTGTAAGGCTTTATTTTATTTTTGTTTTATTTTTCTAATATAAAAGCAGGGCTAAAGAGATGGCTCAGTGGTTAAGAGAGCTGGCCACTCTGGCAGAGGACCCAGGTTCAGTTCCCAGCACCCACATGGTGGCTAACAACCATCCATAACTCTAGTTCCAAGGGATCTGACACCCTTTTCTGGCCTCCAGAGGCCTTGCATGTGTGGGTGCACTTATGTAGACCAAATACTCATACGTATAAAAATAAAAGAAAATCAAAAGATGTTTTAAAGGCAATTCATGCCTTTTTAATTAAAAATAAGGGAAACATAAACACCTAACAGTTTCCAGTTCTATGTATTTTCTTGACGGGAGGAAGGGGACTAATAAGAGGGATAGGGGAACGGTGGGGAAGAGGATGAGCAAGAGAAAAGCAGAAGGAAATGTATGTATGAAAATGCCACAGTGAACCCTGCTACGTTGTGTGCTAGCTTAAAACAATGATAAAACTATGCAGCCAGACATGCCTTTAATCCCAGCACTCAGGAAGCAGAGACAGGAAGATCTCTGTGAAATCAAAGTCAGCCTGGCCTACAAAGCTAGTTCCAGGTCAGCTGGGGCTACAGAGAGAACCTGTCTCAAACCAATCAAGCAACAAAAAACGCCAAACAAACAAGCAAAATAATACAAATAATTTAAAAAACAAATACAGTGAGAGGCAGAATCAATAGGGGTATGGTCCCTGCCTCAGCAGGTAGGAGACCCTTCTTTTAGAGCTCCTTGAGAGAATGCAGCTATTGATATGTTCCAGAGAATACCTAAAGAACCCAGGGTCACCCCTGGACAGGACTTCCCAAATGCTAAGGTAATCTTCCCATCATGCCCACCTACTGGTCTAATACCAGGAAACGACAAGAGCCCCTGCCTCAGTTTCCCCACAGATAGTATCCTGAGGGTTGAGGTGAAGTTTCATTTCACAGTTGAGAGGCAGCTGATCCCATGACGTTCTTCACTCTCCAGAGCAGAGGAGGCCCAGGGATGTTGTTATTTCCTAAGGACATGGGCAGCATCCCTGGAAAGAAATGGGGCAAGAAACACACAGTCCCCCACATAGACTGTGTTCATGCTCTGGGTGCCAGAGATGGCAAGGACCCCCTCTTTCTTTGTGATCATGGTGGAGGAGGAAGCCATGGAACCTTGACCTTTAGGACACACTTAAACCTCCTTCTTCTGTTGGACAGATCGGGATTAAGCCAGCCTGTGTAATACTGTAGGAAGCAGACTTGCTAGTCGTTGAGGTTCCTGAAATCGGGGAATGTGCTGAGCTCCTGGCGGCCTGTAAATAGTCATGGAATTGAATTGGCAAAGTCAACAATCTTAAGGCATCTAAGTCAAAGGGAACATGGCATGTCTTGTCCATAGGGACCCAGGGAAGCCATCACTGCCTACTTTTAGGGACTAACTGAGGCACAGAGCAGGCTATGACAGCAGAGTTTGAATGGGCCATAGGAAGATAAACTTGGATGTTCCTTGCCTTTGCTCTTTGGTTTCTTTTTTGAAAATTTATATATATATATATATATATATATTATATATATATATGGGGGTGGTATGTGCATGAGTGTAGGTACCCACAGAAACCAGAGGCACGGGATCCCCCAGGAGCTGGAGTTACAGTTGGTTGTAAACCATTTGACATGGTAGCTGGGAACTGAACTGGAGTCCTTTGAAAGAGCAGTATGTGCTGTTAACCACCAAGCCATTTCTCTAGCCACCCTCCCTTTTAAAAATAACTGTTTTTTTTTTTAATTAAAAACATAAAACCCCTTTTATGTGTATGAGGTATGAGTGTTTCACCTGCATGTATATAAGTGCACCCCAGGGAGGCCACAAAAGGGCGTCAGAATCTCTGAAACTGGAGTTACAGTCCTAGAACTGGAATTGTGGATAGTTATGAGCCACTATGTGGGTTCTGGGAACTGAAGCCGGGTCCTCTGCAAGAGCAGCCAGTGCTCTTAACTTCTAAGTCATCTCTCCAGCTTCTGGTTTCTTTTCTGTGTGCCTATTCTGAATTTAACTTCACCTATTTTTTTATTTTTAACATGTATTATTTCATTTTAGGTGTCTCTTTAATAAATGGTAATGTCTTGTATTATTCTAAAAACAGATGATCTGAAACCTTGCCTAAGGAGGCTTAGTCATTAATGGGTTTTCTTTCCCCTAGAACTTCAGAACAGATTCTCCTGACATTTATTAAAGGTTTAATTAATCCTTTTGTATTTATTGTTTTACCCCATCTTAATTTACTTGTGTGCGAGTGTCTGCGATACAGAATGCATTACTTTTCATGAAAAACTGACATGCTTAATTGTTTGCAAGGATATGGAAGCATATTTGCATATTTAGTTTAATTTGGTTTCTAATGCAACATTTTATAAATTTGTTAAACCTGTAATTTATCACATCACCAAAGACAAAGACAAAAAGCTTAATTTTGTCCATGAGCAACACATATAGTATTTTTTGTGACTTCTTTAAAATATTTACTTTGAGATATTTTCATTGCGTAGCCCAGGTTAGTCTCAAGCTAGCAGTCCTCCTCTGTCTCCCCAAATGCTGGAGCTGTAGAGCATGCCAATGAGATTTAATTTTTTTAAAAATTACACTTGTTTATGCATATGGTGTGTGTGTGTGTGTGTGTGTGTGTGTGTGTGTGCGTATGACAGTGCACTTGTGCAAGTCAGAGGACAGCTTGTAGAAGTTGGTCCTCTCCTTCCACCATGTGGGTTCCAGGTATTGAACTCAGGCCATCAGGTTTGACTGCGAACCTCTTTCTTTATCTGCTGAGGCATCTCACTGACCCATTTGTGAGTTTTAAGGTTATATTCCAACTCAGGAAACGTTTTATTAAAAACCAGTCTAGGGTTTATCACCTGTAGTAAGTTGCTTTAGAAACACGTTTCTGCTCTTCACAGTTTTTTACTTCTCATCACTGGGTTTGTGTGTGTGTGTGTGTGTGTGTGTGTGTGTGTGTGTGTTCATGTGTGGGCAGGTGTATATGTGCACATGCATACGGAAGCCAGAAGTCATCCTCACCTGTTATTTTTCGATTGTCATCCACCTTGTTTTTGTGATAGGGTCTCTCACTGGTCTGGCACTCACAGAACAGGCTAGGCTGGCTGGCCAGCAAGCTCTAGGGATTTGCCTGTCTCTGTCCTAGAGCTAGGATTACAAGTGTGTGACACTATGCTTGGGGTTCTGGGGCTGGAACTCGGGTCCTCATGCTTGTGTGGCAGGTACTTACTAACTGAGCTACTTCCCCTGCTTCCCTAGTAGTTGAAAACATTATTTTTTTCCTGATTAAGATGTTGAGCTTGAGTAGTGAACTCTCTAGATTCTGGATTATGGGGGATATTCAGCTTTAGTTTTGTAAGCTGTTGTAAATCTCTCCCTTTCTGTACTTTCTTCCTGCATGTGTGTGTGTACATGCGTGTGTGTGCATGCGTGCATGTGTATGTATACTGTGCACTTGTGTGGAGGCCAGAGGAAGGTGCTGAGTGTTCTGTACTGTCACTTTCCACTTTATTCCTTGAGACAGGGTCTCTCACTGAACCTGGAGTTAAATGCTGACAGCCAGCAAGTCCCAGTGCTCCTTCTGTCTCTGCCCCTTCACAGCACTGGGGTGACAGATGCATGTGGCCACACCGAGCTTTTTATGTGGTTGCTTAGGACTTGAACTCAAGTCTTAATGCTTGTGTAGAAAACACTTTTACTCACTGAACCATCTCTCCAGTCCTGCATTTTTGCATTTTGGAATTCTGAGAAAGAATTGCCCAATATTTCCCATCACACTGCTCACCAGCAAGAAGGCAGTTGGTGGCGCATGCCTTTAGTCCCAGCACTTGGGAGGCAGAGGAAAGCGGATCTTTGTAAGTTTGAGGCCAGCCTGGTCTACATAGTGAATTCCAGCACAGCTGGGCTACAAGGGAGACCCTGTCTCAAAAAGCCAAAAAAAAAAAAAAAACTGTTCTAAATGAATGGGAAATAATACTTGTTTCCCTTCTGACGTGTGTGTGCTTGGGGGTGTCGGGCATCGTGGAGAAGGATGGAGAAAGGAGCAATATAGTGAGATGTCCGTTTACATCAGTGCATCTTGTGCCTGGACCCCAAGTCTCCTGCAGCAACCATAGGGAGTGTTACCTCTGAAGTTCCTTGAACCATTCCTTTTTTTGTATTTATTTTTATTCTATGAGTATGAGTGCTTTGTCTGCATGTATATAAGTTTACCACATGCATACAGTACCTGTAGAAGCAAGAAAAGGGTGTTGGATTCCCTGGAGCTGGAGTTACAGGTTTTTGTGAGTGTCCATGTGGGTGTTGAGAACCGGACCCTGGTCCTCTGCAGGAGCAGACAGTGCTCTTAACCACTGAGCCATCTCTCCGGCCCCGCCTTGGATGATTCTTAAATGTGAGTCTCTAGGGGAAAGCTAGCTTTCTTTTCTCATTCTTCTTTGTCCTGTTGTAGGTTTTCACGGGCATTTTTATAGCAGAAATGTGCCTAAAAATCCTTGCCCTGGACCCTTACGAGTACTTTCGCCACGGCTGGAATATTTTTGACAGCATCGTTGCCCTTCTGAGCCTCGCAGATGTGCTGTACCACCTGTCTCACCCAAACAGTCGGTCATTCTTGGCTTCCTTCAGAGTGGTAAGGCACTCTACTCTCTTTTGTTTTGTTTTGACATCTAAGTTTTAAAATGTTGTGCAAGGGTGTGGGTATGGGTACCATGGCATACCCATATATGCCATGGTACATGTGTGGAGGCCAGAGGACAGCTTGTGGGAGTCGATTCTCTCTTTCCACCATGTGGGCTCTGGGGGTCAAACTCAAGTCGTCGAACTTGGCAGCAAACACCTTTACCCACCAAATCACCTTGCTGGTGTCTACTTTCTTATTATGTTGTCTAACTTAACTTTCTCAATAGAAAAGAATCTCAGGTGGGTTTAGTGACTAGCTGGGACTAACCCTTAATTTGTCTTACTTTAACTCCAGAAAAAAATTTTCATCCATCCATCCTTCACCCCTTAGGTCTTTAATGTCTTGGGAATCCCAGGAACTATCCCTATAACACACACAAGATGACCCTGTAGCAACCAGATGTAGAATTTGGTCTTTCTGTGTCAGGACTCTGCCCATTTTTGTGCATAATCCCTGCAACACTCTCTTCTCCCAGGGAACTCTGAAATATGTACCTCATATCTAGATTCGCCAAGGAGAGGGAGGCCTGCTGCTGGCAGGTGCTGTCCGAGATCCCTCCACTCTGCTGCCATTGTTGTGTTCCTGCTCTCTCCTCTGCCTTCTATCCACCGACGTAGAGGCATTCTGCAATCTGCACTAAGTACTTAATAGGGAAGTTCAAGCGATCAAGAATAGTACAAAATGGGACCAGAAATGACCATAATATACAGCAAAGTGTGGCAGAGCCTGAGGTGGGGGGTAATGTATTACCATAAATCTAAAAACTACAGTGAAATCACATCTAAGAGGGGAGTTTGGAAACTTCCAAGGTTGTTGTTGTCTTTGGCAACAAAATAACACAAACTGGGTAAATATGAACAATAGAAGTTTAGTTGGCTTGTGGTTCTAGACTCTGGGAAGTCCAAGATGGAGGGCTTGCATCTGGGGCCTTTGTGTTGCACCAGCTGTCAGCAGGGGGCACATACTAAGTGAGAGCAAGAAAAGTGTGTGGGGTGGGGGAGGAGGCTTAACTTCATCCTTTCATCAGGAAACCTCTCCAGTGATAACTCCCTCCCTCCCATGATGCATAACTATAAAGCTTTTACAAACAAATTCCCTCTTTTGCAAGAAGACTGATAAATGGTCTTATTATATACCTCAGGCTGGCCAGGAACTCAAGATTCTGCCTTAGCCTCCCTGGGGCTTATATTATAGGAGTGTGCCACTATGCCCAGCCTAATTACTGATAAAAAAAAAAATCTCCCCTTTCAATACTTTACAGTAGCAGTTAGGGTTCAACATGAATTTTAGAAGAGAAATTTAAAGCACAGTGTTCAGCCCCAGGTCTGTACCCACCAAATTCATGTTCTTCTCATATATGAAATAATTGCATTATATCCCATCAACCCCAAACACCTTTCCATTCTTAGCTATTATTCTTTTTAATTGACATATGAATTTGTGCATATATTGGGTGACACTCTGATGTTTTGACATATAAACTCCCTATAGCCTGCCTTGATCAGGGTGGGTATATCTATCTACTCAAACATTTCTATCTTTTTTTGTGGTGAAGTCATTCAAATTCTTCTGGCCTTACTGGGGGGTGGAGGGGAGGGATGTTTTAGACATAGAGTCTTGCTATGTTGCTTTGTCTAGCCTCGAACTCACTGTGTCACCCAGGCTGGCCTAAAATCCTCAATCTACTTCCTAAATACTGGGATTACAGGTGTGTGCTCCATGCTTATAGGTTTATTTGTGTGTGTGTGTGTGTCTGTGTGTTTATGTTGTGTCTGTGTGTGTGCCACATATGTAAGTGTGTCCATGAAGGCCAGAAGAAGGCATCAGATCCCCTGGCATGGAAGTTACAGACAGTTATGAGCTGCCCAAAATTGTCTTTACCTCAAAGTGTGTTCTTAGCAGCTTAAAATTGTGTGTGTGTGTGTGTGTGTGTGTGTGTGTGACTGTGCATGTATATGTATGAATGTGGTGTGCATGTATGTGGCATATGTACACATATATGTTCCTGTATATACCTGGAAGGAGGTCAGAGGAAGGTGTTGGGTGTCTTCTGTCACTCTCCAGCTTTTTTCCTTTGAGTCAGAATCTCTCCCTGAACCTGGAACTTGCATTTTGGGGCTGTCAGCCTAGCAAGACCTAACAGTCCTCCTGTTTCCAGTCCCTTCAGTGCTGGGGTTACAGGTGTGTGTGAGACTATGCCCAAATTGTTATGTGGTGCTGGGATTTGAAATTTAGTCCTCATGCTTGCAGAGCAAGCACTCTTACCATGTTACCACCACTGAATCATCTCTGTAACCTCTCTAGCCTGTGCTCCCAGCAGCCTCTCCAGCCTGTGCTTCCAGCAGCCTCTCCAGCCTGTGCTCCTAGCACAATTTGCTGGAACATGTGGGTTTGTTTAGGTTCTCTGTTTTGTTTCATTGGTTTTAAAAATATTTTATTCATTATTTTTATTTTATGTGTATGAGTGTTTTGTCTGCATGTATGTAAGTGTATTACGTGTGTGCAATGCCTCCAGAGGCCAGAGAGGGTGTTGGAACTGGAGTTACAGACAGTTGTTAGCCACCATGTGAGTGCTGGGAACCAAACCCAGGTTCCCTAGAAGAACAGCCAGTGTTCTTAACCGCTAAGCTATTTCTCTAGACCCTTGTTCGATTGGTTTTTGTTTCCCATTTTTAATGCTAAAATCCTTCTCTTTTGGTTATCATAGATTTGTAGTATATTTTGAAGTCAGGGAATACAATGTATCCTGATTTGTACTCTTTCTTCAGTATTGTTCTGGCTATTTGAGATCTTTTGTAGTTCTATAGGAGTTTTAGAATTGTTTTATTCCAGTCCTGTAAAGAAAGGCATTAGTATTTTGATAGAGATTGTTGAATCTGTTGATCATTTTGCATGTTATGAACACTGAACAATATTGTTTCTTCCAGTCCATGGATACAGGATGTTTTTGTGTCTTCTTGAGTTTCTTTTACCAGTACTTTATAGCTTAGATTGTAGAAGTCTTTTGCTTCTTTGATTAAATTTATTCTTAGGTATTTTATGTAGCTACAGTATGGGATTTCTTTTCAAATAACTCACTATTAATGTCATGAAACATGACTGATTTCTGTGTATGTTTTATAACCTGCTACTTTTCGCTAGTTCTAATAGTTTTTAGGTAGATTCTTCTTAGGTGGAGCTTTCTCTATATGTGATTATGTCATCTACTAATGGTGATATCTTGACTTCTTTCTTTCCAGTTTAAGTGCCCTTTATTTCTCTTGTCTAATTGCTTTGGCTAGAACTTCTAATCAAAAGAGAGTGGGCATTTGTATTAGTTACTTCTCTGTTGCTGTGATAAAACACCATGACCAAGACAACTTATAGAAGGAAGAGTTTATTTGAGCTTATGGTTCCAGAGGGATCAGAGTCTGTTATGGTGGGAGGTGTGGTGGCAGGTGTGGTGGCAGAAAGCAAAGCCCTCACATCTTCAAGCAGGCACAGGAAGCAGAAATTGAATGGAAAATTTGGCAAGGTTTAAGAACTCTCAAACCCATCCCCAGTGACATGGCCAGTAGCATGGCCACACCTCCTAAGACCTCCCAAAATGGCACCACCAACTCAGGACAAAAATGTCTAAATACTTGGAGCCTATGGGGTACATTCTCATTCAAACTACCCCAGCATCCTTGTCTCATTTAAGATCTCTGAGGAAGGAGCTCTTGATCTTCCTGCCTCAACCTCCCAAGGAACTGCGATTACAGGCCTGTGCCACTAGGCCTGACTCCAACCCTTTTAATTTCTTTTAAGACAAGGTCTTGCTAAAATGGCCAGGCTAGCCTTGAACTTGTGGCCGTCTTGCCTCAGCCTCCTGAGTATAGCTGAGATTACAGGTACCACCACTCTGGCTGGTTCTAACATTTTAGTGATGCTTAGGTGAACAAAATTACATTTTCATCACAGTTGTTTAGGCTTATCACAGCCATGCTCCAAGATAAAGAACTCTCTTGCATCGTCTTCGTGGGATTGGAACCACAATCTCCCCTTAGGATGTGCCAGCGCCCCTTTGAACAGACTATAATAGTCCTTGTCAGGCATGAGTCCACCTGGTCAGCAACATTTCCATCCCCAATTTGGTGACTATGAACAGGGTAGTGTTTGGGACTTTCCATTGAGAGTTAACATAGACGTAACCTGGAAAATAATTTTGTTTTTTTCTGATATTATTATTTCCTAGGACTTGCAGGGTTCCATGGGAAAGTTTTTCTGTTAGAAAAAGGATGCTGTCTTTCAGAGTGGCCCCTCACCTAGACTCTCACTGGTACAAAATGCCCTATTGCCCTCTTCATTGTCCTAAGGTTTAGCGTCAAACTTTTGACCTGAATTCTGTTAGACAGAGGGAAGCGAACTTCTTCAATGGTAAATATTTTCAGTTTTTCAGGCCATGCAAGTCTCTGTCACAACAGTTACACTTAAACATCACAGCACAAAAATAGCCACACACTTTCAAATGCCAATGAACATGGATGCATTATGATCAAATTTTATTGATGGACATTGAAATTTAAACATGATCTTCATGTGTCATGAAAGATACTTTTTTGTGGTTATTTTTCATCATTTGAAAAGGAAAATAACATTCTTTCCTTTGAGGATACATAAGAGCAGGTGATGAGCTCTGTTTGAATCATGGCCCTGAGTTTGCTGACAATTTTATTATATAACAATTATGACATGTTAATTATCATAAACAATTCTAAAATACTCATTTTATATAATAAATATGATGCTAAATCACTACCCTGAATATCAACTCTTTGTTAATAGAATAAGATTTAAAAAATTTTTTTTGAGCTTTTGTACACTTCATACAACAGTTCTTAATCAAATTCAGACCCCCTCCCCCATCTATGACCCCCATCCCCCCATCGAGCCTCATGTATTCCATTATACATGTTAAGCTCTATCCA